TTCTTCCCTGAGGTAATGCAGGGCTGGTAACCATCATCTTCTCACTGTCCATAGGTAGATAAAATCCTTCTATACAGTATATTTCTCAATTGGTTTAAGACAGCTAAAGATTCTTTCTGTTGCTTATAGTTGTAAATTCTTAATCCTTGTTTTCAGCTTCAGCTTGCTGGCCCAGAGGCCTCACGACCGCCCCGGAGAGCGGGGGGGCGGGGGGAGGACACGCTGAGCCCGGGAGGGCCCCAGCAATTGCTCGTTTTTTGATTGTGCACTTATATGGAAGTTTTTGTTTGTGTTTTTTAAAGAATTATTTTAATTCTATTTTATTTATTCTGTCTATTTTAATTTGACCAGAGAGGTACAGAGAAAGAGGGAAAGTGAGAAAGTAAACCACCGGGTCCAGGACTTGAACCTGAGAAAGCAAACTGCTGGGTCCAGGACTTGAACCTTTGTTGGCCATGTGGGAGTCCAGTGCCCCCAACCTCCACGCCACCTGCTGACCCCTGATTGTGCACTTACATGGAAGTTTATCTGTTCTCTTGCTGATGGACATCTGGGTTGTTTGCAATTTGGGGCTCTTCTGTCCTGTCAGAAAAGTTACCATGCATTTTTGCATAGAAGAAAATATGTCATGACTTTTCCAACAACTCAATAAATAGGACCCTCGTGTTGGGTAGACACCCAAAATGGAATTAGTGGGTTCTTAACAGCAGTGTTACCGTTATTGACAGTTCAGTTGCTCCACACCCTTGCCAATATTTGTGTTGTTAGTCCTTTTACTTTTAGAAATTCTCATGGGATATAGTTCTTTTGTTCACTGTGATTTGAGTTTGTGGTTAATGAAGTTTTGCTTATTGGTAGAAGAAAATACTTTTCCTTTCAAGTTTTTGTTTGTTTGTTTGTTTGTTTTTTGCCCATTTTTAGTTGGGTTGTCTGTTCTTAATGATTAAAAAAGTTCTCAATGTCATATAATCCCAAGTGACAAAATGACAGATGGGAAAACAGCTAAAACTAGAATTCTAAATATGTTCTGGAATAAAAATTCTTTATTGGATATATGATTAATAGTAAGAATTAATATAATATGATACTGACAAAAGAATAAAGAAGCCAATGGTTCAGAATAGAATCCAGAAAGACCCCCACACACACATATATGAAGGGTCTTCAAAAGTTTCATAGGAAATGCATATTTTTAAAAACAAAAACTACACATAGATTTTAAAACATTTTACAATCAAATAAACTCATACCTTAATTCCATTTTTCTACAAGAATGTTAAAGTCCCCTTATAAAATCACCTGCCTTATGACAGAAGTACACAGTCATTCCATAAGGATAAGATTGTCTTTCCAATAAATGATGCTAATCAGCTGGATATCAATATAGATCAAAAGACCTCTGACCCCTACCTCACTCCATGTACAAAAATTAAATAATGATAAATTATAGTCCTAAACATCAATGGTAAAAAAAACTATGATGCTTACGGACAAAAACATACAAAATATTTTTATGATCTTGGGGTAGATAAAAATATTTTAAAATAGGGGACCAGCAGTTAGCATAATGGCTATGTCGCTGGACTCCCATGTAGTCGACTGTGGTTGAGTCCCAGACCTGGTGTCTTAAACTCATGCCGGGCTCATGTGCATGCATGCCCAAGATCCTGAGAGGACAATGGAGGAGAAGGGATTGCAGCGTGGCCATACCCCGTGGGGGGTGATTTCTCACTTTACTTTCTATCTCTCTGTCTGGTGAGCGCATGCGCCCTATAGCAAATACCTCTCCAAAAAAAGCTTTTTAAAAATAGAACTTAAGAAACAATTGTAGAAGATTGATAGTACTTCATTCAAATTAAGAACTTACATTCATCGGAAGACACCAGTAAGAAAGTGACTCGAGGGACCAGCAGTTAGTGTAATCACTATGTCGCTGGACTCCCATGTAGTCGACCGCGGTTTGAGTCCTGGACCCGGTGGCTTAAAACTCACGCCGGGTGTGTGTGCATGCGTGCCAAAGATCCTGAGAGGAGAATGGAGGAGAAGGGATTGCGGCATGGCCATCCCCCCTGGAGCGTGATTTCTCGCTTTCTGTCTCTCTGTCTCTGTCTGGCAAGCGCACATGCCCTGTAGCAAAAACCTCTCTGAAGAAAAAAAGAAAGAAAGTGATTTGATTGTTGTTTTATTTTGGGTTTTTTTTGCCAACAATTTTTTTTTTTTTTACATTCAGTCATTGTGTATCAATACAGCATATCAAATTGACACTGCCTCATTTTCTGTTCTGTCTTGAAGGGCATTCCCATAGGTGGGCACATCATCAGTTATTTGATAGAAAAGTCCCGCGTCGTCCACCAAAACCATGGTGAGCGGAATTTCCACATCTTCTACCAGCTGCTTGCTGGTGGTGAAGCAGAGCGCCTCGCTTACCTGGGACTTGAGCGAGACCCCCAGCTGTACAAATACCTCTCACAGGTGGGAAGGACCAGCACCTGACTCTGGTGACCTTTGGGAGAGGGGCTTCAGGGGTGTGTGGAGGACTACAATAGGGTGTCTGAGAACTTTCTCATTACCGCTCTGGATTTTTCCTCCTGGCTGATTAATTAACACTTAGCACGAGCTAGCTGACCCATCTCCTTTTATGCCTGACAGCGATAGCATCTTGGTAAAGTAAGCCAGTGTCTACCAAGTAGTTCTCAGCCCTGGCTGTAGTCAGAATCACTTCAGAAGCCTTTAAAAGACAAAAATGGGGGCCAGCAAGTGGTGTGGTGGGTAAGGTGCTAGAATCCAACATGGTCGACCGCAGTTCAAGTCCTGGACACGGTGACTTGAAACTCACACTGGGCGTGTATGTGCGCATGCCCCAAATCCCAGCAGAATGGAAAAGGGATTGTGGTGTGGCCAGCACCCTTGGATGATTTCTCACTTTTCCTCTCACTGTCTCTGTCTCTCTGGTGAGTGCATGCACCCTATGGCAAGAACCTTAAAAAATAAACATACGACAAAAATGCCTTGACCTGCCCTCCAGATTTCTATTTAGTTGGTCTGGGGTAGGACCTGGGCATCAGAATTGTTTTAAATACTCCCCAGATCGAATGCACAGATGAGCTGAGAACTGCTAGTCTAAATGGGATGGAAACTCACCAGCCATCTTTGCCCGTGGCCTATGCTCCTTCATTCTGCCTTCAAATTACAGGAGTGTGCCTTTAGCCATGCAGAACACACTCCAATACCCCAGTGGATACTTGAAACCATGGATACTCCCGAGCCCCTCCCCGAATTAGATATGTGTGTATAAAGTGTGTTTTCTTACAGAATCTGTTGAGAAGCCTTTACTAGGGTTAGCCCCATAGTCTAGTGGTTAAAGAAGCTAGATCTCACTTGGCCAACCACAGTTCAAGTCCCAACCCCAGAGGCTTGAAAAATATGCAGGGCATATGTGTGGGTGCATGTCCCAAATCCAGATAGGATAAAAAAACGGAGGGGAGGAGAAGGGATTTGGGCATGACCATACCCCACTGGGGGGAGCTTTTTCTGTCTTTGGTGAGTGTGTGTACCCTCTAGCAATTAAAAACAAACAACAAAAATACATGCTTGTGATAAAGCTGAGTTTATAACTCAGAAATAGAGATTGGGGCTGACAGGTGGCGTGGTGGTTAGGGACGCTGGCCTCCCATGTGGTTGACCATGGTTCTGGCCCCAGACCTGGCGGCTTGCTTTTTCTTTCTCTATCTCGCTCTGTCCTTCTCTGATCAAATTAAAAATTAAATAAATTAATTAAATTAAATTAAATAATTCTTTAAAAAAGAAACAGAGATTAATAATAAAAAGGGGACCAGCAGCTGGCATAGTGGCTATGTCACTGGACTCCCACTTGACTGTGGTTCAGGTTCCGGACTCAGTGGCTTAAACTCACGCTGGGCACATGTGCGTTCGTGCCCAAGATCCTGAGAGGAAAATGGAGAAGCGATTGTGGCATGGCCACCCCCCTGGGGGGGTGATTTCTCACTTTCTGTCTCTGTCTCTCTCTGTCTTTCTGGTGAGCACACGTACCCTATAGCAACACCCCCCCCAAAAAAAAAAGTAATAACAAAATGGAACAAATGTACCAGTATACTGTAAGAAAAGTCAATATGCCCCCATAACATCTGTCAAAGTCTCTTACTGTCCTTTTCTCACTTACAGTCAGACCACGGTTGACTCTGAGTAACTGAAACCATGGGAAGTAAACGCAATGCTAAGGGGAAAGCTCCCATGATTAGAAAAGAACTTTTCCATTTTTTGCCTTCGATCTTGAGAACTGTTGGCTTCGGAATGAACATACCACCTTACAAGTGGCTAGTGTTGTAAAGTGGGCCATCAGAGCTTAACTTGGCAGATTCGTTTTTCTGCAGCCTGAGCTAGGGTTCCGGAATGTCCAGAGAATATGGAATATGGCAGTATTTGGAAACATCAACACTTATTTTTTTTAGATTTTTGTCAGAGGGTGTGTGTGCATGCCATAAAGAGACACAGAGAGAGAAAGAGGACCCCCCACACACACCCAGGGAGATGGCCACATTGCGGTCCCTTCTCTTCCATTTTCTTCTCAGGATTTTAGGAGTATGCTTATGGGTTCGGTGTCTTTTTCAAGCCTCCAGGTTTAAGACTTGAACCATGGAATTGGTCATATGGGATCCAGCACCTTAACTCCCATGTTACCTGCTGGCCCAATACAAACTTCAAAATGGTCTGATTTTTCTCTTCTCACGGAGCCTGGTTTTAAACCGAGGTTGGGAGAGAGAATAGGTCTTGCAGAATGAGCCTTGTGAAGTGAGGAATTTTATAGGAATCATGGAGAAGAAGACCTGACTGAAGTGCACCTGTCAACAGGGTCATTGTGCCAAAGAGTCATCTCTCAACGACAAGAACGACTGGAAGACTGTTTCCAATGCCTTTTCTGTCATCGATTTTACCGAAGCTGACCTTGAGGTAAAGGCCTCAGGGGCAGAACCGCTAGTTCCAGCATTGAGGAAACTATCCTGCTCTCTGGGTATTCATATAGTAGGAGTACCAGATTCAGCAAATAAAAATACACACTACCAAGTTATATGTGAATTTCCGATAAACATACTAAAACACTGGCCGTGGGCCTCCCCTGCTGCCTGGTGGTCAGGGAGCTGTATCCGACATGGCTGGCTGTGGTTGGAATCCCAGCCTCAGCAGCTTGAAAAACACACCAAGTGCACATGTGTGTGTGCCCAAAACCTTGACAGAATGCAGAACTGGAAGGGAAAGGGTTATGGCATGACTATGCCCCATGGGAGGTGCTTCCTCCCTTTCCCCCTCAGTTTCTCTCTGGCAAGTGCATGTGCCCTCCAGCAATTAAAAATATTTAGTCACTGCTTATTTGAAATTCAAGTTTTACTGGATATTCTGTACTTTGACAATTTACGTTGTCGAAATGTGTGCAAGGAAGGATGTTCTTCCCCTCCATCAAGTCCAATCTCAACCATTTCGGTTCCAAATATTTATAGGATTATCATTTATTTAAGCTTCTACAAGAGGTCTTCAACAAGTTCATGGAAAATGAGTATTATGGGCCAAGTGATGAGGCAAGGTACCCTGACAGGACCCACAGGAATGGTCTTGGGTCCATGTCCCAGGGCCTCTTTAAGCATGCTAGCTATGCCATTGGGAGGGTCTCTAAGTACACATGCCCTTAGACTATTAAAAAGAGAGAGACGGGACCAGCAGTTGGCATAACTGCTATGTCACTGGACTCCTGTGTAATCGACCGTGGTTCAAGTTTTGGTGGCTTAAACTCATGCCAGGCATGTGTGCGTGTGTGCCCAAGATCCCAAGAGTAGAATGGAGGAGAAGGGATTGTGACGTGGCCATTCCCCCTGGGGGGTGGTGATTTCTTGCTTTCTGTCTCTCTGTCTTTTTGGTAAGCACACGTGCTCTATAGCAAAAACCTCTCAAAAAAAAAAAAAAAAGAGAGAGAATGTATATGAAGCAACTACACAAGGATATCACTTTTTTTTTTTTTTGCACCAAAACTCACTTTACGTTTTTTGCATGAACTTTTTGAAATCCCCTTATGTACTGGAACAAACTGAAATAGTCGTAGGATACACAAACACTGTGTTTTGGCCAGCTCTGTGGCCTGATAGTCAAGGCAGCTGGATCCCACATAGCCAAGAGCATGGTTCAAATCTTGGACTTAACAGTTTGAGAAACATGCTGGGTGTGGGTGTACATTCCCAAAATCTCAAGAGGAGGGAGAAATGGAGAAGGGATTATGGCATGACATTTCCCCGTGGGGATGGAGTACTTACTCACTTTCCCTCTCTCTCCATCTCTTTCTGGAAAACATATGTGCCCTCTAGCAAAAATAAAATAATTTAAAAATAAAATGCAATGAATGAAAATGCATTTTTTAAAAGAATTATTTTATTTAACTATATTTATTTATTTATTTTAATTTGAACAGAGAGGGGGAGAGAAAGAGAAAGAAAGCAAGTCACCAGGTCTGGGAATTGAACCATGGTCAGCCATATGGGAGTTCGGCATCTTTAACCACCACACCACCTGCCTGTACCATGCATTTTTTAAAATTGTGTTTTTATATCTTTTTACCCCATCCCATTTTGATCGTTAAACTATTCATCTTTCAAGGATCAGAATGCAATTTTTAAAAAATACATATGAGACCACGGCATTTGAAAATGGAATGACTTACAGAATTTATTTTATAAAAGATTTTATGGAAGTGGTTTATTTTATGAAAAATAAGTTTATGATGCATTGTTTTGTCATTGAACGTGGAAGTGTCCTGTGCTGGAGATGGAGTGCGACACTTTTCCCCCTGCCCCATGATACCTGAAGTGAATTCAAGTGCTGGTTTCTGGGGGAGGGAGGAGCTGGGAGCTGGAATTAGGGGGGTATTGTCCTTCCGGGGCTCCTCTGGTGCCCTTTATCAATGCTGCTGCTGTCACCTTCTCTCCTGTCCTCCTGGTCCTCCATCCCGGACCACTTCCCATGTTCCTAGAATCTCTTTGGAATTATTGCCAGCATCCTGCACCTGGGGAATATTTGTTTTGAAGAGGGTCCCCATGGCTGCGCCGCCATCCCAGACACCCACGAGATCAAGTGGATCGCCAAGGTGATATGCCTCTTTTGAAGAGGACTGGTTGGGGGGCGGGGGGAGTGGCAGAGAGGAGCCTTGTGGCTTGGGCCTTGGAGAGGGGCAGGGTGGGGCAGCAAGGCAGCTGGCTGCTCACAGCTAGACCCCAGTGGCTGGCACTGTGGTTCACTCAGCAGGGACGGGTCAGGAGGTTCACAGAACGTGGAGGCCCTGGGTATAAGAAGCCAGTTGGGTGAGAGATTTAGTATGGTCTGTTTTGCACTAAAGCACAGCCATTGTTCAGGGACACTCCACAAACTCCTCATTTTTTAGAGAGAGATTTTTGCTATAGAGCGCATTCACTCACTGTAGAGACAGAGAGACAGAAAGCAAGAAATCACCCCCAGGGAGGATGACCATGTCACAATCCCTTCTCCATTCTCTGGGGGTGTTAGAAATGCATGCACATGTGCTTGGTGCTCCACAAACTCTTTTTAAGTGAGAGTGTGGGCTGGCCTGTGGCCTTGTGGTTAAAGGAACCGGATCCCACGCGGCTGATGCAGTTTGGATCCCAGCCCCAGCCACCTGTAAAACAAGCCAGTTGCATGCGCAAATGTACTTCGAATCCCAACAGGATGGAGAAATGGAGAAGGGCTTGCAAATGTGACCATACCCTATTAGGAGTGCTTTCTCCCTCTCTCTGTGTCTTTCTCTCTGTACACATATGCCTCTGGCCAATTTAAAAGAGAATAAATTAGAGAGTAAAACCAGGCCATTGAATGGCATCTTGGGTTCCTTTTCTTCAGCTCCTGGGAGTCTCTCCATCGATCCTTCTGGAAGCTCTCACCCACAGAAAGATTGAAGCCAAAACTGATGAGGTAAAAATCTCTCTAGGTGGCAACATGCCTGCCCTTGCCATAGCAGCTGTGTTCTGCAGATAATAGCAGGATGGTGGCCCTGAGGGAGGCTAAGCCCCGGAGCCCACAGGCTCTACATGGTCCAGCTCTTGCCAGAGCCTCTTGCCTCATTCTTCCCCAGCACACACTCACCATCACCAGCGCTGCACTAACACTCGTGCTCCATGCTTCACACCTTCCCTCCACAGGGTCTTTGCACGTGCTGTTCCCTCTGCTGGATCCCTGTTCCCCATGCTTCACCTAGCTAACTCTTCATCTTCAGTTCCCAGGGGTCACTTCATTAAGCATTCTGCTGTGGCCATCCCATGTCTACCTAAAAGCATCATGGGAATTTCCTTACAGCTCGTCACCCACAACTTGCAACAGGAATGCTTTGTGTGATTCTTCAAATGTCTTCTCATCCCTCCCTCTTCTCCTCTCCACCCCCAGCTGAACTCTGAGCCAGTGAAGACTGGGACTGTGTGTTTTGGTCACAGCTGTCTCTCAGCAGCCCAGCCCAGTGTCTAGCACATGGTTGGTGACAGCATATATCCTTCGCTAGTCATCATTAAAGACTAGTTTGGGAAGACCTGAGGGGGGCCTTTTTTCTCCCCAAATCAGTAACGATGCACTTCTTCCTTTCAGGTGATCTGCCCATTGACGCTAGAACTGTCTGTCTATGCCAGGGATGCCATGGCGAAGGCTGTTTATGGGCGGACATTTACTTGGCTGGTCAACAAAATCAACTCCTCCTTAGTTAATAAGGTCAGTCAGCACATCTGGGGAGACCGCTGTCACTAACGCGGTAAGGTTTTATAACCTCCGTAGTTACTTTAAAGCATTTCTGAGTGTGGACTGTGAGTTCCTCACGCACAGGCATGGTATCCAGTCACAGCCCCATGTCCGATGTCTACCGAGTAGTAGGCTCACAGAAATGCAGACCCGTGACTTCAGCGTGTCTCAAAGCGTGTTGCACATAAGCACGTGTAGTATGCCAGATGCTTCAAGTGTCCACAGAAACTTCCTATTTCAACAGTAGCATATTTTCATGTGTCTAAGAAAAATAGCCCTTCAAACTCACTCTTTGACCAGATTTCCTATTTAAGTAGGATTACTTAAATTAAAGGGGAGGGACCAGCAGATGGCATAGTCGTTACATCACTGGACTCCCACACGATCCACCATGGCTTGAGTCCTGGACCCAGTGGCTTCAAAATCACACCAGGCACATGTGTGTGCATGCCCAAAATCCCAGGGAGAGAATGGAGGGGAAGGGATTTTTTCTATCTCTGTCTCTCTCTGTCTTTCTGGCGAGTGCATGTGCCTTATAGCAAAAACCTCTCCAAAAAATATTTTTATATCTTTTTGCCCCACCCCATTTTTATTGTTAAACTATTAATCTTTCAAGGATCAGAATATATTTTTTTAAAAATACATATGGGACCGTAGCATTTGAAAATGGAATGACTTACTGATGGAGTTTATTTTATAAAAGATTTTATGGAGTGGTTTATTTTATGAAAAATAAAAACTCACAGTGCTGGCCAGTTACAGAGGCAAGTATTAGCCGTTTCATGCAGTGCTCCCATGTGGGAAGGTACTGGCTTCCCGTCCCAAGGTCTCCCTGTGCGTGCTGGGTACACATGTGCATCTGAGATCCAGGCTGGCTGAGACTTGGTGTGGATTGTGGCATGAAGACCTTATTGGGGGCCGGCAGGTGGCACAGTGGTTGAGGCAGCTGGACTCCCACATGGCTGACTACAGTTCAAGTCCTGGACTTGGCCGTCTGCTTTCTCACTTTCCTTCTCTCTCTCTGTCTCTCTCTGGTCAACTTAAAATAAATAAGTAAATAAATAAAAATTAAATAATACAATGACAATGAATAAAATTAAATAAAAAATAATTCTTTTTTTGAGAGGTTTTTGCTATAGGGTGCGTGCACTTACTAGAAAGACAGAGAGAGAGACAGAAAGCAAGAAATCACCCACCCCCGGGGGGGATGGTCACACTGCAATTCCTTCTCCTCCATTCTACTCTCAGCATCTTGGGCACACACACACGCATTCCCAGAGTGAGTTTAAGCCACCGGATCCAGGACTCGAACTGTGGTCAACTACATGGGAGTCCAGCGGCATAGCCATTACACCAATTGCTGGTCCCAAAAATAATTCTTTAAATTAAAAAAAAAAGACCCTATTGGCACTCTCTCTCTTTTTCTTTCTCATGAGAGAAAGAAACACACTTATAAAGTAAAACTCATGGAAGTAGGATACGAAAGACAGATTGGGGGGCAGCAACTCAGTTCACTCATATAGCACATGAAATTGTACCCCTCTTTTAAGAGATAGGCATATTATTTTTAAATATCATTGTTGTCTGTCAGCATTTGGTCCTCTGTAAAATGATAGCCTTATTGCCTAGCCTCTCACTGGGTAAGCATCTCCCTGGCTGTCTATAGGTCTGTCTGACTCCTTTCTTTTTTCTTTTGAGATTTTTGTTATAGGGCGCATGCACTTGCCAGAGAGACAGAAAGCGAGAAATCCCCTCCTCCCCCAAGAGGAATGGCCATGCCACAATCCCTTCTCCATGCTCCTCTTGGGATTTTGGGCTCATGCACACTAGTGTGAGTTTCAAGCTGCCAGGTTCAGGACTCATACCACAGTCGGCCATGTGGGAGTCCAGTGCCCTAACCATTATGCCACCTGCTGGCCCCACATCTTTCTTTTTGGATCGAAGTTGGGCTTAAGAGACCAAGGAGGACTAAAGGACAGAAGTGACCCAGGAGGGGAAAATCTCATTTCTTGGGGGGTGGCTTTGGAAACCACAGTGGGATCAGAAGGGTTCCCACTGAGCGACTCTCTGACCCATGGTTGACGGGAGAGGAGACCTGGGTTTTACAGCAAGTCCCAGCTTTGGGGGCACCTACAGGGACTCGAGTATCACAAAGTAAAGACCCAACCATTAATGATGTGTGTGATTTTTGACTAGGATTTCACCAGGAAAACAGTGATTGGACTGTTGGATATCTATGGGTTCGAAGTCTTTGACAAGAATGGGTGAGCTTTGTCATTTCCTACCTATCTGTCTCTTCCCCCTCCTTAAGGTTTCCGTTGAGGTTTAAGTCATCTCTAACGTTATTGGAATAGATTTTTCTGTCCCCAGAAATTCTCCAGATTTGCATATCCCTTAATTCATAGATCTTTCTAGAAGGGGAATACCATCATAAAAAAAAAATGCTAACATCTTTTAACTTGACTCTTTTAATCTGCTTAGTAAGTTATTTTACTAATAAGGACTCTGCTTTTTCTTTGTTAAAAAACATCACTGGGCCAGGTACTGGTGCAGTGTTAAAGCGAATGGACCCACATAGGAAACGTCCTGGATTCTTGTCCTGGGAACTCCCTGAGTGCGCCAGGTGTTTGAACACAAGTGGGGTCAGCTAAGGCAGAGGGTGGATCATGGTGTGGAGACCTTCTTGTGGGTACCTGCCCCTTCTTCTCTCCTTTCTTCCCTTTGAAATAAATAAATAAATAAACTTCAAAATAAAATAGAAAGTATCCACAATTATGAGTAAGTAAAACTTTTAAGAAAGTTTGTCTGGGTCCAACACTTAGCATAGTGGTTAAGACATTGGACTCCCACATAGCCAACTGCAGTGCAAGTCCCAGACCCGGAGGATTGAAAATCACACCGTGTGTGTGTGTGTGTGTGTGTGTGTGTGTGTGTGTATGTGTGCATGCTCTGAATCCCAAGAGGAGAATGGAGGAGAAGAAATTGTAGTGTGGCCATCCCTCCTGGGAGATCCCTCTCTCTGTGTCTCCGGCAAGTGCCTGTACCTTAAGACAAAAAAAAATATATTTTTTTAAAAATGGTCTATTGCTTGATTTTAATTATTTAAATCTTTTGCATCTCTAGTTTTGAACAGTTCTGTATAAATTACTGCAATGAGAAACTACAGCAATTACTAATAGAAAGGACTCTGAAAGCAGAGCAGACCGAGTATGAAATGGAGGGGATAGAGGTAAACGCTGTGATATATCCTCATGTGGTTTCTTAATCTAGCGAAAGACTTAAAATTATGATTTCATTGCAGATTTTCCTCATTAGTACTAAGGATTACCTTTCTGGTCTTTCCTGCTTGTTTCCTGGGAAATTATTTTGATATCCAGAAAGTATTTTTCGAGGGTGAATATAACGATCAGATTTTGAAAATGTTGTATTCATGTACTGGAAAATTATGCCCTATGAATATGTACCATTGTCATGTCAGACTTTTTTAAAAATCAGATTTTGAAAAAGACTTTTGGAAAATCAACTTAAAACCAGTGTTTTGGGCCATCAGGAAAGTCATGACGTGTTTTTCTCTGCAAAAATGCATCGTGACTTTTTTAATGACCCAATATTTTATGCTCATCTAAATACTTTTTGGAGAACTCTTTCCTCTTTGTCATTTTAGTGGGAGCCAATTCAGTATTTCAACAACAAGATCATCTGTGATTTGGTGGAAGAGAGACACAAAGGAATCATATCCATTCTGGTGAGAAAATCAATGTTGGGTTGGAGCCCATCCATCCAGTGTTGATAAGAAGGAAAGAACTTCCTCTTGAAAAACAGTTGAGAGCGGGGAGACCTGGTAGTGGCACAGAGGTAGCACAGCTCTTTATGAGGCTAAACCACATGGGAACGTTCCAGATTCAAGTCTAGAGACCTCCCTGAATGTGCTGGCTGTGCATAGGCCCCTGATCCAGGGCTGGCTGCAACTAGGAGTGGATCGTGGCCTTAAGACTCTATTTGGGTTAGTGTCTGTCCCTCTCTTTCTTGCTCACAGTAGAAAGAAATAATTGAGGAGACCAGTGAGTGGTGTGGTGGTTAAGACACTGAATTCACAAATGCTTGACAATGGTTCGAGTCCTGGACCTGGCAACTTGAAAATCATGCCAGGTGCATGTGCATGTGTGCCCGAAATCCCAGGAGAATAGAAAAGGGATTGCGGTGTGGCCATCCCCCTGGGGAGTGATTTCTCACTTTCCCTCTCTGTGTCTTTCTCTGTCTCTCTCTGGTGAGTGTATGTGCCCTATGGCAGAAACCTGAAAAAAAAAAAAAAAAAAGAGGGGGTTTGAGAATGGAATTTTTAGAAAAAAAAAAAAAAAAAACAAGAGGGAGTTTGAGAATGGAATTATTACTCACCAGATAATTGAAGGCTGCACATTGAGCTTTTACACTAAACTCTTCCTTAGAGCTTTTAAGCTGAGCCTTCTCCTCTCCATTTGAGTCTTAGGCCAAAATTATCGCCGTAGGAGAGAGCAAGGAAAGGCCTCTGGAATCAAAGCACGCATGCCCGTCTCCCATAGATGAAGGAGTCGGACTCAGTTGACAGTGTCTGGTGGCCATTGGAGAGAGGCTACTTTCTCGCCTACCCAGGAAACAGGAAGCTTTGAAAAGAATGTTGATTGATCCTGAGTAGAAGCTCTCTAAACTATTCCAATTTATGAGTATATCAGTGATCTCAAATCCACAGTTGATATTCAAACATCAAACTTTCTAAGATTTATTTATTTATTATTTTCAATGAGTAAGAGAGAACCCCCCACCCCCCATGGAGGATGGCCACAGTGCAATCCCTTCTCCTCCATTTCTCCTTTTAAGATTTTGGGCACATATGTGCATGCACACATGCCCAGCATGTTTTTTTCAAGCCATTTGATTCAGGATGCCAACACACAGCTGGCCACATGAGATCCAGCCACCTTAACTATGCCACAGTCTTGCCCTAGATTAGGACTTTAGACCTTCAGACCTTTAGTCTCTGGGCCCAGGGTTCCTTTATCAAATCTGAGAAGCTGAGCTCCTCCCTACACCCTGAAGTGCCCCTAGCTGTGTGTGAGAGGCCAGTACTCTAGTCCAGTACCTTCTCCCACTGCTGGTGACAGTGTTTAAACTGGGAGCTGGTGGAGCGTGGTGCTATGGAGGCTTCTGTTTTCTCTCTGAAGGATGAAGAATGTTTTCGTCCTGGTCCTGCTACAGACTTGAGCTTCCTGGAGAGACTGGAAGAGAAAGTAGGCAAGCACGCACACTTCCAGACGTATGTGCTTCATTTGACAAGCTGGCATGTGGGGGAAGATGCTTGCTTTTCCATTATCTTTGATGGGTAGACAGTGCTCCTGGAGGTTACAGCTGCATCTCAACACATAAAAATAGCCTTATGATGTACCAGCTCCAATATATGCATAACTTCATTAGTAGAACTCAAACTCAAATGAATCCCAAATAAAGGTTTTTTTTTTTTTTTTTTTTTTTTTTTAAGTTTTGCCATAGGGTACATGTGCTTACCAGAGAGGAGAAAGACAGAAAGAGGGAAAGTAAAAAATCATCCCACAAGGGGATGGCCACGCTACAATCCCTTCTCCTCCCAGTATCTTGGGCACCCACGCACATGAGCCTGGCATGATATTCAAGCCACCAGGACTGGAACTCAAACCCTGGTCGGCCCTGTGGAAGTCCAGCTACGTAGCCACTATGCCATCTGCTGGTCCCAGGACCCCGTTTTGAACCTCAGCTCAGCCACTTACTTAACACCCCTGCACTGGCACATCCCCTTCTGCAAGATGGGGCTGTTAATGTGCCTGCTACAGACGTATACACGTGACTACGTCACTGCCTAGTGCAACTGCTAGCCATGGCAGACTCAATGAATGAAAATGGTTTGTCAGACCTGCTATAGAGTGCTGGGTGGATAAGTAAATGGAATTGCATAAATAAATAAAAATAGAAACATAAATTGTAGTACATTCACAAATGAGTTACTACAACACTAAGCGAATAATCTGTGACTATTGTGTCGTTGGAAAAGTCATAATGCATTTTTGCATAGAAAACCATGTCATGACCTTTTCAATGACCTAATACATACAATGATGTGGGTAAATCATACACAGGTGAGATAATCTAGACATTAAAGAGTACATACTAGAGCCAGCATTAGGCATGGTGGTTAAGGCACTGGACTCCCACCTGGCCAACAGCAGTTCAAGTACCAGATCCAGTGACTTGAGACTCACTCTGGGCATGTGTGCGTGTGCACCCAAAATCCCAAGAGGAGACTAGAGGAGAAGGGATTGCAGTGTGGCCATCCCCTGGGGGGTGATTTCCCTCTCTGTCGCCCTCTGGCAAGTACACATGCCCTATGGCAAACACCTAAAAAAAAAAAAAGTTAAAATCCATGTAATATTCGCATCATATACATTTTCCATAAACTGGAAGATCCCATGCATGCATGTTTTGATGACCCTTTTATGTATTTTTGCTAGAGAAGGAAGGATCCAGTTTTAGAGTGATCTTGATCTCTGGCCAGATGAAACAGGGAGCAAGCCTTCCCTGCTAACTTCTGTTGCTGGCCTTTAACTGAATGGCTGTCCCTAAGCAGCTTATCCAAGACCCCTCTCACTGGCGCTTTGCTTTGTCGTTGCATCTGGGTGCAGTGAAGGAGAAAGGCTCAACTCGTGTCTGTCTCTGTCTTGATGTAGCCGTAAACTGGCCGGTCCAAAGAGCCGAAAGCGGATTGGCTGGATGGAGTTCCAGCTCCTCCACTATGCAGGAGAGGTCACTTACTGCACCAAGGGTAAGTGGCCGTGGGGGTGACTGCCACGTGGGTGCCCAGCCCCGTGTCCCGAAGAAAGCAAGTCCACACCGCCTGGCCATCTCCAGTGTTCCTTCACCTTGCATTCAAGCATGCCGTTTGGAAAAGTATTTCTACTGTAATGTATTCATTGCTTGTATAGCTAGCCACTTTAGTGACATATAATTCACATACCCTAGGTGTGAGTGAATTTAAATTTTACTCACTGAAATGATGCAGTTCAGGAGTCCCTCCAGGACACAGGATAACGTATTATTCAAGAGAAACTGGGTCCTAGATGGTGACTGTGGTTCACATGCTTGGCCCGGTCAGCCTGACATATACCAGGCCTCCATGTAAGTGGTGTCCGTGAAATGATGGGCTGGAGGTCTAAAGAAAGGAGAGCATGGCATGCCCCCACCCTGCAGAGGGTGTTTTCTCTCTTAGGCACTCACATGTACTCCATCATGAATTTTTTTAAAAAAATTAAAATTGAGTAGGTTTTCATATATTCACAGAGTTGGGAAAATTTCCCCATAGTCAATTTTAGAACATTTCATTACTCCCAGAAGAAATGCTGTGGACATTAACAGTCACTCTCTAATTCCTCCAACCCTGCCCCGCACAGCTCTAAGCATCAAACCCACCTACTTTCTGTTTATGGCTTTGCCTCTTCTAGACGTCTCCTATCAATGGAATCATGTAAGATGTGGCCTCTGGTGCCCAACTTCTCGCATTTAGCATAACGTTTTCAAGGTTCATCCATATTGTCATTCCTTTTTTTTGTCAAATAATATTGCATTGTATGAGCATGTATTCTGTTTATCCATTCATCAACCCTTCATTCACAGGCATTTGAGTTTGTACTTTTTAGCTCCCGTGAATAATCTTGCTGTGAATATGTCCATATAGGTTTTTGTGTTGACAAATGTTTTCATGTCTCTTGGGTATATACCTAGCAGTGGAATTGCTGGGCCGTATGGTAATTCTCTGTTTCAGCTTTGTGAGGATATAATGAATTGTCTTCCAAAGTAGCTATACCATTTTACATTTCCACCAGCAGTGCACGGGGGCCCCAATTTCTCCACAGCCTCATCCACACTTGTAATTCTAGTCACCCTCGTGGGTGTAAAGTGTGGAATCTTATTGTGGTTTTGACTTGCAGTTTCCTGATGACTACTGATAATAAACATCTTTTTATGTGTTTATTGGTCATTTGTTTGAATCCTTTGCCCATTTTTACAAGTGGCTTGCCTTTTTATTATTGACTTGTAAGAGTTCTTTATATATTCTAGAAACTAGGCCCTTATCAATAGAGATGGTTTTCTAATATTTTCTAAGTTGTCTTTTTACTTTTTTTTTTTTTAAGAGATTTTTGCTACTGGGCGCATCTGCTTGCCAGAAAGACAGACAGAAAGCAAGAAGTCACCCTCCAGAGGGGATGACCACACCAGAATCCTTTCTCCTCCATTCTTTTCTCAGGATTTTGGGCACACACGCACACATGCCTGGCATGAGTTTGAAGCCACTGGGTATGGGACTCCAACCACAGTCAACTACATAGGAGTCCAGCAACATAACCATTACATCATTGGCTGGTCCCGTCTTTTTACTCTTTCAATAGTGTCCATTGAAACCATCAAAACTTTTTAGTTTTGACAAAATCTAATTTATTTTATTTTATTTTGTCACTTATACTTTTTAGTTTGAAATTATTTTTCCATCAAAATAAATTTCTTGGAACCAGCAGGTGGTGTAATGGTTACATCAATGGACTCCCACATAGTTGACTGTGGTTCGAGCCCTAGATCTGATGGATTAAAACTCACACCAGACATGTGTGCACGCGTACCCAAGATCCCAAGAGGAGAATGAAGGAGAAGGGATTATGGGATGGCCATTCCCTTTGGGGGGTGATTTTTTGCTTTCTGTTTCTGTTTCTTTCTGTCTCTTTGGCAAGTGCACAGTCCTATAGCAAAAATCTTTCTAAAAATAAAAAAGTTTCTCTAAGAATCCTTAAAAGGTAATATAGCATGCATTCATTTTTTTAGAAGAGATTTTTGTTATTAGTGCATGTGTACTCACTAGTGAGACAGAGACAGAAACAGAAAGCAAGAAATCACCCTACCAGGGGGTGGCCACACCATAATCCCTTCTCTTCCATTCTCCTCTTGGGATCTTGGGAATGCTCGCGCACATCCCCAGTGTGAGTTTTAAGCCACTCAAACCATGATCAGTCATGTAGGAGTTCCAGTAATGTAACTGCTATGCTATCTGCTGGCCCCTCGTTATTAGCTTTTTTAATGCAAAATGGTACCAAAAAAGAATTAAATGGATGAATCTCTTTGTGTGGATAATCTCTTGCTTTTTGTGTGAAGAATAGAAGTAGGGAGTTGGATGAGGCCCAGCAGCAACACAGCACTCTGTGAGGCTGGGCCACACGGGAAGGTTCCATGTTCGCATCTGGAGCCCTCCCTGAGTACACCAGTATGCACCATCAGTGTACAGCCTGGCCCAACCTCTTACTCTAAACCTCATAGAGCCCTGGGAGGTGGGAGCACGGCCATGCCCCTTGTACTCTATGAGGAAACTGAGTTCAGAGAAGGTCAGTCTCGGAGCTGCCAGGTGGCAGAGCTGGGTCCACACCCAGGCCTTTTGCCCTTAACCTCCATCTACTCCACAGCAGCACGGACTCTGCTGCCTTTGTTTAGAGAGGCCACAGGCACTCGACGCCATAACTCTGTTCTGTCCCCTCTTTTTTGGACACTGGCTGTTTCCAGTTTTTTCTCTTGTAAACACTACTGCCTTTGCCACCTTAGTATATTTCAAATGGCCTTTTTTTGGGGGGGAGGGGACAGATTTTTGCTCTGGGGCATGTGCACTGGACTACACAGAGAGACAGAAAGTGAGAAATCACCCCCCACGAGGGGGACGATGGCCACGCTGTGATCCCTTCTCCACTCTTCTCTCAGCATTTTGAGCACACACGCTCACAAACCGCTAGGACCAGGACTCATAGGGCCAGGACTCAAACCACGGTCAACCATGTGGGAGTCCAGCATCTTAACCACTATGCCACCTGCTGGCCCCAACGTGACCAATTTTTACACGTCGGATTCATAGAATCCCTTAAGTGGCATTGCTGAGCTAAAGGTTCTGTTACAAGTTAGCTTTGATGGCTTCTGCATGTAGACTCAATAGGACTGAACACAGAGACTCAGATATGTGCACACCCGTGTTCATAGCAGCATTACCCGTAACAGCCCAGAGGTACAACCAAGCAAGCGACCCTCCACAGACAAATACGTTAACTAAATGTGGCCCATACAAACAAGACCTGTTCAGCCTTCCAGCCAGCTGTGTTGGGAGAGAGGAACCACAATTCTAGATCATCACATAAAAATTATATCTCAAAATTTTATTATTTGCCAGAGGGCACATACAGTCTCTAGAAAGAGACAGACAGACAGGGAAGGTGAGAAAACACCCTCACAGAGGATGGTCACACCGTAATCCCTTCTCCTCCATCTCTCCCTCCTTTCAGGATTGTGTGCACACACGTGCACATGTGTGATTCTCAAGCCTCTGGTCCAGGACTCAAATTGCATGGTTAGCCATGTGGGAGCCAGCCTCCTCAACCACCAAACCATGGGCTGTCTGTGTCTTAGATTTTTTTTTTTTTTTGAGAGGTTTTTTGCTATAGGGGGCATGCGCTCCCCAGAAAAAGA